TTAAAGTCATGCAGTAATTGTGGAATCTGTAAAACTTTGAGAAAGACTTTTATATTTGTATATCAGGTTTTCATCATTAAGAATTCAGGCCTAACAGATCTTCAGGTAATTCAACAATTTTCGGCTCCTAAAGATACTCGCATGCATCGAGGCGACACATCACAAAAGGATAAGGGTTAGCATCGATGCTGGTCTTTCCTTTTTGGGATACGCCGCTCATTTCACTTTCATTGATAAATATGTGGAAGAACGTGCAAGAGTCAGGGCTACTTCAAACTATTGAGGTAAGCACACTCTTCAGCGATCAACCCAAGGTCGCGTTCATACTCTGCGGCGAATTTGAGCGATTCTCACAGTGCTGAAACGCGGCTTTATGGTTACGGATAGTCGTATTTCGCCACTATATTTACCTAAAGGTCACCTGTTCAACTCAGCGGAGCATTAAGATATGCACAAGTGAGTTCTGGCGTCATTCCAGAGTATATCCCTGGAATGATCCCTCACTTTTTTATATGTTGTGTTTCAGTTCGAATTCCAATCCGAACATCCCCGGGGAGCGGCTTCCGACGAGCGTTGCAATGACAAAATAGTGGATGAATGTGTCAGATGAAACGAAAGAAGAAGTTCGTTGGTCTTTCGGAAGATCAATGCCTTCATGTCTGATTTCACTCCTATGTGGAACCCTTCACGTCATGTTTCCGGCTAGAAGAATGATGGATTTTTTGAAATAGAGACAACAGAATTACGAACAGATTCTGGATTGAGGCTAGGAGTGATATAAATATAACAGTCATGTGTTTATGTTATACTGTACTTATTTACTGCAGTTTTTTGAATAGGTTCCTAGAGCTTCAGTCTTGCCTCAGCCTTTTCACAGCCGGGAAGTCTCAGAAAAGCTGCGATTTCTGAGCTTCTGTACATCCTCTGACCCCTATCGACAAAGATTTTTATGACAGAGTTCTCAACAAATAAGCACCTTGATCAAGGTTGAAGAGTTCATTGCACAAATTCCGTGCATAACTGGCAAGTGGTAGTGAAAATGAGAACATGCTTTTACAACTAATGGATAAGTATCACAGACGCAAGGCAGTTTCACAGATATGTAATAAATACAAGGAAGCACCAACAGTAAAGGCAGCAATGTATGTTTTCACTTGTTTCGACTTTTGCTGGCTGCGAGTAAGTGTGCAGACACGGTGAGCTCGAATCAGGGTAAAGGGAGATGAGGTAAAGAGAGATGGGTTAGGGCTCACTTCGTACAATTCAACATTTATTCGCTTTGTTAGAACGCACCTTTAGCACCTGCTGGTGTATATTTGAGGACGGGCAACCATCATCCGAGAACGATCTTGTTAGCGTGTTTGGCTAGAAGCTCAGTCTTGAGGTGCCGCGTATTCCGTCACCAATTCCGTGTGTTATTCGGAAACGTGCCGAGAAGGCACAGGGTCACCCAGTACAAGAAGCCCTGGAATTCGAAGTCCTTGGCAAGCGACCAGCAGCTACGTAAAATAAGTGGTGGAGAGACATCATCAAGAGGAATCTCTGAAATTGAGGTTTTGGAATGGAAACAAAAAAATCGGTCTGGGCATCCCTCCAGGGCTAAGGCCACAATAAAACGAAAAAAAAAAACAAAACCCAAAAAAAAATAAAAAACCCAAAAGAAAAGGGGCAGTAATTACAGAAGAGGATGAGTGCTGAAGACACTCTGGAGTTTCTTCCCCCTCCGCGCCTTAAGGGCTGTCCGTTTGTTTAACAGAAGGAAGCATGTTTCACGCGATTTCTAATGTGTCTCCAGAGTGCCCCTGTATCTTGCGATAGCGCCAAAAATGCTTCGCATAGAAAAGACGGGCGATGGCTAGCAAAAGCAGCTTGCCCTGCGCTGGCGTAAAATTGACCCTTAGGATGGACTCTGAAGGAAATGGTTTCTTAATGATCCTTAGTAAGAGAAACACGCCATTCAGAGACAGCCAGCAGTATCATAGTTCGAGTTTGGGATATGAGAAATGGGACGACTAGCTAGCGTGGCAAAATTGTGGAAGGAATAAATAACAATTATATAATCTATGTGGGCGTTAATTCTATACATTCTCACTGAATACTTAATGGGGAAGAGATTCGACTCAGTGGGTTTAAAGGTCTGCCTTTATGAAAGTCTTTGACTTCTTAGACTTTTGCGATGTAGGCTTTGTAGAAGAACTGAAGGAACAGCACAGCAAACGTGACATAGATGATGAAGGCCAAATAGAGGTTGGCCATTGATTGCTGGCATCTGGAAAGAATTTCATCAATACAGTACCAAGTCGCAAGGTTACTGTAATATAGCAGGACTTACGGCAGATTGGACTCGGTTTTAATTCGATAGACAATATAGGAGACAGCTACTCCAGCCAACATCTGAGCGGTTTGAATAGTTGTGACACCCATCGAGACCTAAAATTGTTGATAGGTGAAATATTGCCAACGGGGGTTCTAAAAAAGCCGATGGTCACCAGAATCCGACGCTTGGGGGCATTTGGTAGTCTAGAGTTCTTGTCTTGGTCCTGTCCTGGTTTCTTTTCTTTTTTGGACTATCCACTGCTTGCGGGTTCCTACTTCTCCAGATTGCGGAGCTGTGCCGAATCAGTAACTTTAGACGCCGGTTAGTGAAAGGTGGTTAAGAAGCGCAGTGATATTGTCCGGCGTTCATGGTTAGCGACAACCACGCTACGAAATGCCTATTTGGAGCTACCGCAAGATACAGGGGCATACTCTGGGATTTTCTCCGAAGAGGCAGGAACTTCGGGGAAATGGAAAATTGCTTATGTACCCTCGAGTCTCTTATCCCGCACTTAATGCTTAGTGCGGTTTTTGACAAAAAGAAGTAGTTTGTCGCGGTCTTGAATGCATTGCCACCACAATGTGCCTCATCTAGCACCTGCATATTTGTTCGTGCCTTGGGCATAGCGTTTCGGGTCACTGAGCGTGCAGTCGGAAGAGACGCAGACATTGTAAGATGCATACTCGCTCAGGGTCG